GTGTGTGTGTGTGTATACACATATATATATACATATACATATACATATACATACACACACATACACACACACACACACCACACACATGTAGATATATATATATATATATATATATATATATATATATATATATATATATACATATATATACATATATATATATATATATATATATATATATATATATATATATATATATATATATATGTGTGTGTGTGTGTGTGTGTGTGTGTGTGTGTGTGTGTGTGTGTGTGTGTGTGTGTGTGTGTTCATTTGTATATATATACATGTATATATATATATATATATATATATATATATATATATATATATATATATATATATATATATATATATATATATGTATATATGTATATACATATATATATATATATATATATATATATATATATATATATATATATATATATATATATATATGTGTGTGTGTGTGTGTGTGTGTGTGTGTGTGTGTGTGTGTGTGTGTGTATGTATGTATGGAACTGTGTGTGTGTACGGACGGATAGTCAGCCAGATCGATACAACAGGGAGCAGAAATAACCTAACAATATTCTGTGTTGAAGAAAGTTCTGATGTATATTTTTTTGATAACGACTAATATTCTCTTTCTATTTATCTGCCCAGACGACTTTTTACAATTATTCGTTTCTTTTCCAGGCTGAGACGTATTTCTGCACACCGATCCGGATAGATCCCACTCAGGAGTATTATGTCAGTAAGTAATCATGCTCGTCTTGAACTTTCTCAAAAGACACACGCATTTCCTTACTTTTAGAATGGTGATATGGCCGTGGAAAGACACTTATCCGTTTTTTGTAAATTGAATCCTGTTCATAAATTCGCTTGGGTGACATTTTGCTAGAATGTCGAAGATGGTTTGCTTGGTCTAACTGTACCGCTGGGAGTGCCTGGGGTGATGTGTGCTCTCTCTCTCTCTCTCTCTCTCTCTCTCTCTCTCTCTCTCTCTCTCTCTCTCTCTCTCTCTCTCTCTCTCTCTCTCTCTCTCTCTCTCTCTTTCTTCCTCTCTATCTCTCTCTCTATCACTCCCTCCCTAACCCCCCTTCCTCTCTCCCTCTCTCCTTCTTTGCCTTTCTCCCTTTTCTTCTCTCTCTCAATCTCCCTCTCCCCTTTCCTCCCTTCCTTTTTCTCTTCCTCATTCTCTTTATCTCCCTCCCTTCTTCCTCTATTTCTTCTCCATCCTTCTTGACATTAGTTTAGAAGAACAACGAAAAGAAAGGAAGAAAAAATGGTAATAAGAGGATGAAGCAACAGCAGAAGAAGAAAAGAAGAAGAAGAAAGAGAAGAAGAAGAAGAGGAAAAAGAAAAAGAAAAAGAAAGAAGAGAATGAAGAAGAAAACTAAGAAAAAGGATAAAGGAAATGAAGGGGGAGGGAGGTAGAGGAAGGGGGGGCAGGAAGTAGGAGGAGCAGGAGGGGGGCGGGGGGCTAAAAGGAGAAGAAAGAGAAGGAGAAAACGAAAAGGAGGTGAAGGAAAAGGAGAAAACGAAAAGGAGGTGAAGGAGAAGGAGAAAACGAAAAGGTGGTGAAGGAGAAGGAGGGACTGATGGGGACGGAGAGGAATCAGAAAATATAGTTAGAAGAAGAGGAAATACTGATGAGGGAAGCCAAGAAGAAAGAAAGAAAGAAAGAAAATAGAAAATGACAAAGAGAAGGAAAAAATGATAATAAAAAAGGAGAAGGGGAGAAAGAACAGTGTACGAAAGAGTACGAAAAACACTTAGAGGGGAAGGAGGAAGAAGCAAAACGAATTCAATCGTGGGAACAGAAGAAAGCACGGATCGCCATGTTCAAGCAACCCGGAAGCAGAGGTACGGAAAAAAAGCCATAGTCTTCAGAAGTCCCAAGCTATCTCTCAGGACTTCCCGGAAGTGCTGAAAGTTCAGGTGAACGCTTCATGTTTGGAGGGAAACAGACCGAGCAGGAGAGAGTCGGGGGGGGGAGGGGAGGGGGGGTAGAGTAGAACGAGTGGAATAAAGCCGGGGAAGTGGAATAGATGATGTTAGAAATTTGTTTGATTTTCATGGTTGTTTATATTATGTATTGTGTGTATTTTTTTTGCCTCTTGTTTTTTTTTCATGATAATATATGTTTTATAATCACTTGTTTATAGAGTAGAACGAATGAAATAAAGCCGGGGAAATGGAATAGCTAGTGTTGGCTGGATGATACGAATAAGGCAATATAGACAATAGATATCACTTATGAAATGATAATAACGCAAGACCACAAACAGAAAGAGAAGGAGAATATATAAATGCGAGAATGTAGTCCGGGTGGTTGCGCTGCTGAGTAGCATGATGACGCATCTTTGTTAACCTGTCTTGTGGATTAAACAAGGTCTGCAGAGGGAATCGAAGGCGAAGTGTAATCTTCCAAGGATACTCATTCTTTTGTGAGTTTTTCTGTTGTCTTTGCGTGCCTATGCGCATGTGTGAGTGCGTGTATGGATAATCTTTGACC